GCTCGGCAGAGACGCTCGGCCACTTTCGGCTGCTGTATAGGGCTATAGTGAGTAGCCCATACAGCAGCCGTTTGGTTGGACTGAAGGGCTCCGGCGGACGAAGAATCAGACGAAGCTACGTCTGGATCCTTCAGCTCTTTAGTGAATAATCCCCTTAATCATTTGGGAATTCCAAGCCGTTTTCTAAGTGTTAAATCTGTTGACGTCTCTAACCACCATCTGGTGTCTACAGTCAGCCATTTAGGACAATGGACAACCACATTGTCTACATCTGCCACTGGAGGACCTTTAGGATAATGGACGCCATGTTTATTACCTCTTTATCGTCTACACAGCTGTATACATATAATTCTTCCTATAGTTGAACAGAGCCCATTCTCCTAAATCTGGTGTCAGACTGACCCTGACTTGTCAACTCATAAAGATAAGACCTATTCAAGATCTACGGGTCTCCCCATTGTTGGCCCAGATCTGTCTTTGTTCTCTTGTTGTAAAAAGGAGCAGACGCCGGTGATTATTGACCGTTCTCCTGGTGATGTGAGGAATGGTTCACCGGGGCAGCACATACAGATAGCAGGGGCACAATGACCTGCACAGCAATGCTTCACACTCAACACAGTTCAGCCGTAGTGCTGATGCCGAGCCATACGCAGCTCACAATTTCACCGGAATATTTGTACCAAATTCTGAAAAATTGTTCACCAGAACGTTCCATCTCGCCATCATCGAGTCAACTCATTTCACTCAAGAATCCTGAAAATGTTCCCCAGACCGGGTGACTTGAATGTCCCAATCAGGTGCAGTCACTGCTCGGGTCCTCGAGTCCCAGACGGGTTAAACAGGTTTCTTTTATTGCTTACAATGATATATACTGTCTATGTATAGTATATAGATAAAGTTCTCCCGATCGTGTTCCACATTACCAGGTAAAATGTTGTTTGTTCAGATAAGTCCATCCCACTCCTTCCGTTTTTCTCATCACTACGGTCGATAATAATAATCAATTTGGATTTACTCTCTCTGCTGCCCCAAGGCCAGGTTCCTCAATGCTCCCCCCTCCCCGCCAACTACGGTTGCCACCTTTTCTTCAAGTGAAACCTGAACACTCTAGCGCTGCATGCAGCAATTTTCAGGTGGGCTATGCGGGCTCTCAGGTGGGCTATGCGGGCTCTCAGGTGGGCTATGTTGACTCTCAGGTGGCTGTGTAGGGTCTCAGGTGGACTATGCGGGCTCTCAGGTGGCTGTGTAGGGTCTCAGGTGGGCTATGCAGGCTCTCAGGTGGGCTATGCAGGCTCTCAGGTGGGCTATGCAGGCTCTCAGGTGGTATACATTTGGTGTACATTCAGCTCTGCTTGCCCAAAGCAGGGGTAAATGTAGAAAACAACTACCCGCCCGGCGCCCCGGAAATGCATGTCCTGGCCATCAGGAGATAGGAATCCCACACCCCTGCTGCCCCCTCTACTCCCTGCTGCCCCGAGGCCGGGCCTCGGTTGGCCCTGATCGTGTGACAAGTTACAGCATCTAAATGATTAATGAGCGTCCTCCCCCTCTCTCCGGAGCCTCGCTGACTAGGAAAATTCAACTCCAGGGGGTGTTCAAGGTTAATTGAAATTAAAATTAGTTTTTGTTTTTTAAATAAAGAAAGGCCTATAAATCCATCCGCCGTGTTCAGCCGTGAAGGAAAGGATAGGTTTAATGGAGGCGGTGCTGTCAATGCCTCCTATGCCAGGTGCCACAATGCCCCTTTCATTCATTTACTTCATGTGCGGCCAGGGTACGGTTGCCACCTTTCCCTCAAGTGAAACCCGAACACTCTAGCGCTGCGTGCGGCAATTTCTTTTACTGAGAATATAGAGGAGAGAGCAAGGAGAGGCAAGCAGGGGAGGGAGTGAGGAGACCAGCTATAGAGGACGACAAATCCCAACAATACATTACACAGCAATACAAAATAATATGAAGCTACATGGGCTGTTTGGGCTCTCTGGTGGGCTGTGCGGACTCTAAGGTGGGCTGTGCGGACTCTCAGGGCTGTCTGGGCTATGGTGTCTCACCAGGGGTCCGCAGGTGGGCAGCACAGTGTCAGGGAGCCGGAAGAGGAGACAGAGGAGCAATCACAGATGCAGCTGCCAAGGTCTTCGACAAGCACGGTCTCGGGCGGCCACATCTGCCTGAAACCCGGATCTTCCTCTGAGCTGCAGGGAACCTGTAAACAGGAACGGACTGCCTGCACCTCAGAGGAAGGTTTCAGACCGAAGCGGCTGCCCGAGACCCCAGCAACCACATCTGTCAGAAAATTTAGACTCCAAAACTGGACTGTTCGGGTGAAACTCGGACGGGTGGCAACCCTAAGCCAGGGCCGGATTTACTCTCTGCTGCCCCAAGGCCAGGTCCTCGATGCGCCCCCCTACCTGTCAAACCTCCCCCACCTGTGGAGAATGGCAGACTTTCAGGCTGCATACATGTGATCTCAGTGACATCATGTATAAAACAAGCGCCTGCTTCCTCGCTGTACATTTAGCTCTGCTCGCCCAAAGCAGGGCTAAATGTAGAAAGCAACTACGCGCCCGGCGCCCGGAACTCCATGTCCCGGGCATCAGGAGATAGGAATTCCACACCCCTGCTGCCCCTCTACTCCCTGCTGCCCCGAGGCCGTGCCTTGGTTGGCCTTGTGGGAAATCTGGCCATGTGTGCCGCCATAGAGATAAACTGGCCGTATGTAAAAAGTGATTCCTTCAAGAATTCCTGCGGATTCCCTGTGCATTCTGCCCCAGCTGGCAACCAAGGGGGTGGGGCTCAGCGAGGTGGGCGGGCTTAGCACAGCTGGGACTTCGGGTCAACGATGAAATGTCAGGCAATGCTTAAGGGCCGAGACGCGTCTTTGCGATAAAGTACTTTGCGGTAACGCCTGTCGATGTGCCTAAGCGCAATGCGGTGCAATTTATTTATTAATAGTGCCCCAGCGCGCTAAAACAACGCAGCGCCAACGCGCATACGTTGCAGCACACCACCATGCATGCTAAAGCCCTCATGTGTGTTGCGGAAGTGTTGAGTCTCTCCCTGTGCATCAGCAGACTCTTGGGCTGCCTTTACACAGCGCATGTTAATGCGTGAGGTGACGCACGTGCATTAAAGCAACGCCCAGGAATAAAGAAGCGTGAACCCAGCTTGATTTGTGTCTGGGAGTCCCACTCCGCCATGTTAGACTGGAGGTAATGGTAGCGTGCCGCTTTCTGCCCCTTCTTGTGTACGGTGCAGTGGCTCAGTGGTTAGAACACACGCGTTGCAGTATTGAGGTCTCTGGATCATGTCCAGGTTTGGGCAGGGCATTATGCGTATGGAGTTTGCGTGTTCTCCATGTGCTTGCATGGGTCACCTCACACTATGCCGAAGACATGCTGTATTAAGGATGGGCACGATGTTCGAGTCGAGCATGAGTTCGAATTGAACATCGGTAGTTCGGCGAACTGACAGGGCGTTCGGCAGGCCAGGTGTAAGACTTTGCCCAATCATGGCGCACCTGTCAGATGCCGTACAACTGTAAACAGTTGGGCGGAGCTAGCTGTCACCGCTAACTCCGCCCAATTGTTTATGTGTTGCCGGCATCTGTCAGAATGGGCTACCCCTATGCAAATAAGCCCCCTTCGCCCGCAGACCCCCACAACCACCGGGTCAGGGTTGTGGGGAAGAGGCCCCTGTCCCCATCAGCACAGGGACAAGGTGCTTTTCCAGGGGCGACCCCCCTTTCCTGCCCTGCCAGGCCTATGCTCGGATCAAGGATCTAGTATGGAATTTTAGCGGGGACGAAGTTTTCCCCATTTTTGGGGGTGGGGTTTCCTCCTTAAAATTCTTAACAGACCTTGGGGGCCTTGTATGACTTTAAGGGGGAACCCCACACACTTTTTTAAATTTATTTTTTTAGATAGACTAGCTATTGCACCCGCCCTCTGCTGCTGTCAATCAGCAGAGATGGACCTGAAGGTCTCCATCAGGTCCACCTCTGTTGACTGACAGCATCAGAGGGCGGGTGCAATAGCCAGCTTGCTATTGGCTATTGCAAATTGAAAAAGCCAATAGCAATCTAGCTATTAGTAACTATGCTGTTTTTTTTAACTTTTTTTCCTGACGGCAGCAGCTGTCAGAACACTAAAAAAACAGGCAGCAGATAGCAAAGGAAGCATTAGCCTCCCTGCTATCTGCCATCATTTCAGGGGGGTGCTCTCTTCCTTGTTGTTGCACCCCCCTGAGGGGAGGAGAGTTGACAGAGGGCACCTCCCTGAAATGAGAAGGGCACATCCCTGAAATTACTTATTTCAGGTTGGGGTCCCTGCATGCATGGTATTGCGGTACCACATGCTGCACTGCAACCCATGTCTGCTGGGTTGGGGTGCCAATGAAATAAATTGCAGTGCAACATACCAAGTGCATGGAACCACACGCTAGGTGAATAGTGCGATAGCGTGTGCCAAGTGCACACTGTGTGTGAATGGACCCTTAACCCTTGCAGTGCGGGCTGTAGTCCCACCACAAGGGTAATTTATTAAAATGACTTCTTTAGGGCTAGTTCACACCAGCTCCAGTGCCTTCCGGCCCGATTGGTGCCGGAACGTAGTGGATCAGGGTCAATGGCACCGCAGCCACGCCCTCCAGCCGCAGTGCGATCGCTTGCACCCCTGACTTCACTGCACACAGCTTCCCACCACAGATTACATTATGACAGGGCCGCAGGGCAGAGGAACTGACACGCCGATAGGGAGATTTTAGATTTATGCTGCACTCAGGGACTCAAATCAGGACACTTGACAAGTATTGTGTCCGGGTGAACGCTGACCTGACAACTGGACACAATACATATAGGACTCCCAAACACGGACTGTCCGGGTCAAACACTTACAGGGGGCAACCCTACTTAGAGGCAAAGACCCATACCCACCCCAGACAGAAACCGTAGAGGTAAATGCCCCTGAGGCGTGTTCACTTCCTAAGCCGCTGCGAGTTCTGAGATAGCAACCCACCACTGAACGCTGTGCTGCAAGCCAGCGCTCAGCATTGCTAACTTAGCACTCGCAGCGGAAATGAATGTGGATCCAGAGTGCTGAGTATGAGGGAGAAGGTGGGGGGTGGAGACAGAGCACTAGCGGCCATTTTAACTGTGGGCACACCTGGCAGCACTGGAGAAAGGTGCCTGAACCCCCGATGGAGGAAATCACTTCAGTGTGGGAACCTCCAATTTAATGTTGGGGGACGAGCACACCAAATATTATTTGGAAAGTGTTATTTATTAGTCAAAAATATTATCCTCTGCCATTTTGCTTACCACTGTGCAGCCGAAGCGTTTAGTGAAGCTGCTGCAGCGAACTGAAGTGCTGCAGAACAGCTGCTTAGCGTTGGCTGAGGAACTGAGCACGCCTCAGGACTCACACCCACCCCAGGTCAGAGCCTTAGAGGCAAAGACCCCTGGACTCACACCCACCCCAAGCAAAAACCATAGGGGCAAAGACCCCTCGACCCACACCAGACAGAAGCCTGGAGGCAAAGGCCCCTCAACAGACCCCCACCGCAGACAGAAGCCTTAAAGCCAAAGACCCCTCGACCCACACCCTTCCCAGGCAGAAGCCTGGAGGCAAAGGCCCCTGGACTCATACTCACCCCAGAGTTCGCTTTTATTTTCCTGATTCCATGCAGAACTTGGAAGAGACCTGTGGCTGTGTGTGCGGTCGCATGCATAAACATACGTGCTACAGGTCTCTGCCATGTATGTGGGACCTTACCAAAATCTACAGCGTGTCTGCGCATGGGTGACAGCCCGCGCATGTGTAGACATGCTGCTGGTTTGTCAGGTCCAAAATACATGTCAAGGAACTGCGTCAAGTATGTGCATGCTTACGACCCCCCTGAGCATGCACAGACATACCGCAGGTCCAAAGTAAATGGTAGAGAACTGTGCCATGTCTGTGCATGTGTGAGACCCTTCCTGCCCAGGCTCAGACATAGCGCAGGCCCAAAATACATGGCAAAGAACTGCGCAATGTCTGTGCATGCATGAGACCCCCCTGCACATGCGCAGATATAAAATACATGGCAGAGAACCTGCGTCATGTCTGCATGCGTGAGACCCCCATGCACATGTGCAGACTTACCACAGGTCCAAAATACATGGCAGAGAACTGCGTCAGTTCTGTGCATGTGTGAGACCCCCTGTGCATGCTCAGACATACCGCAGGTCCAAAAATACATAGCAGAGTACCTGTGCCATGTCTGTGCATGCGTGGCACGCTTTGCACATGCGCAGACTCGCCGCAGCTCTGCCAGGTCACAAAATATGTGGCAGAGACCTACGGCTTGATGAAGAGGGTCAGAAACGTTTAATACTTCGTCCCTGAGTGAAAATTTGCTCCTGGGATGTGCCGCTTCTGTTGAAGCCTTTGGTGCCAATAATGTGCAAATATACTTTTTCGAGCTTAAAGCGACGGTCGATACATTACTATGGTGTGAACGGCCACCATTGTTTATGCTGAGCGTCGCCGCGCTTCAGGACATAAGCGTCCAAGCGCTTAGGTGTGAACGGGAGGGCTTAATGTGGTCTGGTTCATAATGGAGGGGTGCAGGTATTGCAGCTGAAGTGGTCAAAGATGTTTATTTTATTTTTTAACTGGCTTTAAAACACATTATAAACATCAGCAACACATACACAGCGCGGCCATAACAACACACGGCAGCTTTTCTGTCAGAGGCGAGCCGCATTTGTTCGCCGCGCTGCACTCTGGGTGATCGGGAACTCTCTGAGGGACGCCAACAGTCCCCGCCCACTCCAGAGTTTGCGTCTCACGCCTCGCTCTGGCCAAAAGCGGCCGTACGCCCTTTGATTGGTGAGCCCTGCGCTTCGGGGCGGGGCCCGCGTC